TTTGGGATGCGCAGGGATCCCCCTGAGCCTGGCACGGTTCATCCACTCCCAACTCCACCACCTCGAGGGTGCAGGGCTCCAAAACCGGCAGCTCCTGCGAGAGATTTTCCAGGTTTTCCAGGCAGGTCTCGGTGGCTTTGGAGGCACAAAGCTCCTCCTGGGAAAGCGGGAAGGAGTCAGAGGGACAGAGCTCCACGGTCAGGATGGATTTCTGGAGCGGGAATTTCATCACGCACATCCCGGGAGTCTCGAAGGTGAAGGGTTCCTCTCCCGAGCTCGAAATTTTCACGGGATCCACGCAGGGCCCGGAGTCCCCCAGGGGGACCTGGGTGGGGTCACAGGGACAGGAGGGACAAATGTCCAGGCACGGGCAGGGATCCACCTGGGAATTCTGCTCCGGGCTCACCACAGCGCAGGGATTGCTCTGGGCAGCCTCTCCCAGGCAGGAACAGGGCGGGCACTGGGAATTCATCTCCCCTGCGACGGAGAGCTGGAAGGAAAAAAGAACAATTTCACACCCAATCCAGAAAAAAAAATAAAAAATCCTCGGTTTTTTTCCCCCCTTTTATCATCAAACCCCCAAACTCAGCTTTTCTCATTAAAATCTGCTCTCAGCCAAACGATTCCAACAATTTGCAGACTTTTTTTTGGGGGGGAGGATAACAACAGATTTAATTCAGGTTTATAAATTTCAAGCTGCTCCCTTCACTTCTCCAGTTTTCCCCTTTTCCAGTTGTTTTTCCCTTTTCCAGTTGTTTTTCCATTTTCCAATTGCTTTTCCTTTTCCCAGTTGTTTTTCCCTTCTCCAGTTGTTTTTCCCTTCTCCAGTTGTTTTCCCTTTTCCAATTGTTTTCCCCCTTTTCCAGTTGTTTTCCCATTTTCCAACTGTTTTTCCTTTTCCCAGTTGTTTTCCCCTTCTCCAGTTATTTGGAACGGATCCTGGATCTCCTGGCAGGACGGGCTTTAATCCCACTAAACCCAGTGCTGGAACAACCGGAATTTTCCGGCTCATCCATAGAAATTCCAGAATTACAGCCAAGCCAACGCGAGGGAAGATTTTTACCCTTTGAAACCTTTTACCCCGGAGGATATCGAGCCCCATAAATCCCTTTTTTTTTTTTTTTTTCCAGCTTTCCTGCGAATCTATTCAGGGAAAACGGGATCTGTAGGATCCCGAGGAGACTCACCTGGCTCGGGATGGGCAGGGCAGACGCGGCCGCGTTATCCCAGGATATTCCTGCTGTGATCCCGGGATATTCCCGACACCCTGGAGCTCCCCGGGGCCTCGCTCCGCCTCTGCCCCGCCGGGGATGATTTACCTAATTATTTTTAATGGAAAACGCCTATTTCCGTGGCTGGAGCCGGACCTGGAGCTCTAAGGAATTCACGTGGCCCCGCAGACGCCAGGGAGGAATTTGGGAAATGAGTGGATTCCCGGTGACGGGGCAGGTTTTTTGGGATGCTCCAACATCCTCCAGCCCAACACCTCGTGAGCTCCATTAGGGACAGGATGGGATTTGGGGGATTCTTTTATTTTTAGCCACCTCTGGCCTTTTTTTTTTTTTTTATCTGTCCTGTTTTTCCACAGAGCTGCTGGAAACTTTTGGCTCACGTTTCGCCTCGTGATGTTTTCCGTCCTCTCCCGAAGTCCTGACTCAAATCCCGTCTCCGTTGTCCTCACGACAGGCAGGTGACCCGAGGAGTGACCACCACCCTTTTCCCTTCATTTTACCCAAAACCACCTGAATTCCACCCAGCTGGAAATTCCTAAACCCGAAAACGCCAATCCAATCTGCTCCTGTCCCCATCATCCCCAAAAGAAAGTGTTGGCAAATCATTGGAATTGTTCGGCAGATTTGAGCAAGAAAAACTCTTTTTTTTTTTTTTTTCGGTGGAGTTTGAACAGAAAAGCAAATTTAAAAAGGGAGGAAATTTTTTCCTGCACTCAGCAGTAAAAATATCAACCCAAGGGGTCACGAATCCAGGAAATTAAAAAAAAAAAAAATCACATTGGGCACCCAAATTTGGAGGGAGAAGAGCCAAAACCCCCCTTTGGTGGGAAACAGCCTCACCTCTGGTGCGAGTCACTGCTGTCCCTGGTTGTGTCACCGGGTGATCTCGGGCTGGGTGGCAGCAGCCCTGGAGGAATTCCAGAGCCTTTGATGTCTCCGGGGGAACTGGTTTGGGTTTCTCTTCCCTCTTTTCCGTGCAGGGACAGAGCGGCGGCTCCGAGCGTGAAGTTTGTCGCCTTCTCGAGCTGGGTGTGACCTCCTGGCACCAGAACCGGGCACAAAAACCCGGCCCAAAGGGCCACCGAGATCGAGGAGTTCACCCCTCACCGCCCTGGGTGTCACCTGCTGGAGCTGGGACACGTGGAAGATCCTGGAGATTTGCGAAACGTGAAGATTTCCCTGGAGGCCAACGGCCAAAATCCCGACAAACCGAATTTGTATTGGGAAGAAAAAAAAAAAAAAAAAAAATCAAAGAATTGTGGCAAAAATGAGCAGCGGGAGCAGGGCAGGGATTGTCCCCTGGGCTGGGTTTGGGGAGGGGAATGTCCAGTGTCCAGTCCTGGACAATCATGGGAAGAGGGAATTGAGGGTCTGGAGAGTGGCCAGGGATGGGAACAGACCTGGGGAAGGGTCTGGAAAATCCTGGGAGAAATGGGAAGGGCTCAGGCTGGAGAAAAGGGGGATCCAGGGGGAATTTCGGGATCTGCCAGAGGGGATTTGGGATCTGATCCCAGGGAATGGGACGGGACAAGAGGGAACAGCCTCGAGCTGGGTCAGGGTGGGAAATTCAGAAAAATCCCTCCTGGGAGAGGGAAAAGGCCTTGGAAGGAGCTCAGGGAGGGTTGGATCCCCGTCCCTGGAGGTCTCCAAGGAATTCCTGGACCACATCTGGAGCTGCATCCAATTTGGGTCCCTCAGCTCAAGACCAACCAAGACCACCCAGATGTTCCAGGAACTTTGAGGAAAAGGTGGACTGGGAGACGCTGAAGGATTTGCCCACCCAGGAAAGGACTTGGGGATGACCCTGGCACCTCCAAAATATTCGTGGAGACTCTCTTCCCATTCAGGGGCCGAGACAAAACCGTGACCAGATTATTGGGAATAAAATTCCCAACAGAAGGAGCCAAGCCCCTTCCAGAGTCCCATCCCGTCTCCATTCCATGCAGGAATTTCTTCAAGGGAATGCACCAGAAGTTTTTTTTTGTTGTTGTTATTTACAGAGTTTAATCCCGAGGGGGGATTGTTTCCAGGTTGTCTCACCCTCTCCTCATTTCCCAGCCTGTAGGAAATTCGTGGACGGGGGAATTCCTCGCAGTCGTAAGAGTCTCGTGTCCCACCTGGGCGACACGAAAAATTATAACGTCGAGCCAAGTAATTGAAGGATTGGAGCAGAGCAGGTCTGGATTATTAAATATTTGATTTCCATACCCCTGAGGTGTCTCACTTCCGGAGCCACGGACACCGAAATCCTATAAAAGGATTCCTATTGTCCTGTTCCTCAAGCCACCTTTGGTTTCATTTGGTGCTCGCTGGTGGAGAATTGGGTAAGTCCAGCTCGGTTTCCTGGGAAGTCACCTCGTGGTTGGGTTTTATTTATTTATTTATTTTTTTCATTTTGGAGCCGTGCAGAAACAAATTAAAAGGCGTTTCTGCTTGGGGATATTGGGGTTGGGATTCCCCCAGATTTTAATTTTGTTGTCTCTGGGGTTTATTTGCTGTGGGTTTTGCTCTTCCTCCATTGCAGAGGATGAAATTTTCTCTCTCTCTCTCTCCTCCCCGACTCTGCTGCCCTGTTTCACCCAGGGAATTGCTGGCGTTGGGAGAGATCAAAAGGCCAGGCTGGGACTTCAAAGGGGAGAGGTGGGAGGGGTGATAAGGAGTGGAGACTCTCAGGCTGCCAGGGAAGGCCGTGCCTGGAAGGGAAAATCAAATCGGGGTGGGAAAAGCCCAGGCAGATTTTGTGGGAAAAGCAGAGCCTTCACTTGGGGAGGTTTTGCTGGTTTTCCTCTAGATGAGGGCAGGATGATCCGAGGCCCTTTTGGGGTGAAATTGGGCAAGGAATGGCAAAAAAAAGGGGAGGTGTGGGCAGGTGGAGGCTTCAGACCTTCCAGAAAACCTAAAGGAGCCCAAATAATTTCGGCTTCCTGTTTTGAGAGGAAGGTGGTGGAAAAACAGCTACAAATTTGTCTGAAACTTTCATGTGGAGTCGCTTCCTGGCCACGGTTGTTTTCCCAGTTCTGGATTCTGTGGGAAAAATGATGATTTAATTTCGTGGCTAGAACAGCCTGGAATGTTT